GATTCTTCTTCTCACTAATGCCTGGCATTGCGTCAGGTTTTGGTAGTGCATTTAGTGACTTGCTAACCATCTGCGTATTGCTTGCAGCCTTTTTCTTTTAATTTTGTTTTCTCCGTACTGTGGTCCATTTTTCATCCTTCAGGACACTGGAACTATTTGGTGCAGTGACAGTTTTATCCGGACCTTCAGTTTCCACTAGGGGTGCATGGTTACCAATGTCAGTATCAGATGGTACTACCCCCGTCGTTAATGTTAACGAAGATTTTATCTTTCCATCAGTCAAAGTCGGTTATTAAAGGCGTCTCGTATCAGCACGTACTACACTGACATATTCGTCACTGTCAGTGCTCATGTCATCAGCCATGCACCATCGTTCCTCTTACAGGCCAAACCCAATGTGCTCATAGCCTCCTGTATTAGTAACGTCTTATTTGCACAGAAAAACATGCAGAGCCAATGTGAGTTAGGCTTCAAACATCTTTTGTATGCAGTGGGACTTAAACGGGTGCACATCTTATGGAACCATTTTTTGCATTCATCACACTGCATTCCTTCCTTCACAAGGAAAAAACAGTTTGGTTGTCCACATTTGTGAGTACTACCAAACATTCCGGTTAGATTAAAGTGTAAAACAAAATATGATCGCAGTATGAACACAGTGTCAGTCAACGAGTTAAACGGTACTACAAGACAAAACCTAGAAAGATTTCAAACCCTAACTAACGTACTTTGATTTAGACCAAGAATGCTTTTGTTGCAATAATTACTCAAAAACAAGGATAATCACAGCAAATACAAAATCATTGCCCTTTCTGAAACACCGAAGACAAAAAGGTTGTGAAAAGAATAGGAGAAGCTTTCGCTTAACAGTTATCCGTATATAGTAACAATGGATAACCGATACCATAAGATTGATGAAGGTTTGAACCTAGGCATATTTAATGATAAATGAGAAAAACGTCAGTAAATTATAACGAGATACTGTCCTTAGTCCCTAACAATATGTCAAGTTCTCTCTTATAGGACTCATTGGAAGCCGCTTGCACTAGCTCAGAAGGCAGAGAATTCCAGCATCTGATTACTCTCAGCGAGCAGGTGTGCCTATGTTGTACCACGAAATGCACTTTTAGGATGTGAATCTTACGGATCTTGAATCATCAAAGCATCATTCAAAACGAAGAAGGAGGGAATTACAATGAATATTGTCGAATGTTATGTACCCACCAATGAAAGCATCAATGACATTAAAGATCAACTCAAGAACGCCTGCAATCAATCATCGAGAAGTGCCTAAGAACACTGTATACAAAGTCAAAAACGTTTTGGTGCCGACATGACTAAAGGCCTTACGTATTCACCATAGAATTCGGGGACCTCGGACGGCTATTATACGGCAGTGTGCAGTAGTTTTTAAGTCTAATCTAGGGATGACTTTAAAGTCATTAAGTGTCTGGACAACAGATGGCTCAATTTTATTGATCATATATGTACTTGTACCTTGATGACTAATATGCATCCTAATGCACTTAGAAGCATTTATCGGAAACTGCCAGGTTTAAGACCATTCAGATAATTTCTCTGGGTCATTCTGGAGTTCTAAGCTATCACCCTCACATAGTATCGTTCTCCATATCTTGGCATCGTCAGCATATAGCAAGACCGATGATGATAGGAGACGAGGAAGGTCATTTACATACAAGAGGAATAGCATTGGCCCTAAAGCTGTACCCTGGGGCACTCCATCAAGCACAATTTCCAAGCTAGACAACTTGGAGTTCACCAGTACTCTCTGTTGGCGCACAACTAGGAAGTCTTTTATCCACATCAGTAGATTGCCTCCAGCTCCGACATTTCTTGACTTAGATAACAGCAGGTTGTGCTGAACTTTGTTAAGACCTTCTCTGAAGTCAATGTAGGCTACGTCTTCTGGTAACTTTTGGTCTTTAATAGAGCACCAGCTTTCACGAGAGACTAATAAGTTAGCGAGAGAGGAATAACCTATTTCGAAACCATGCTGCTTCTCTGAAAGGATCCCGTATTCATCGAGATACTCAAACATCTCCTTCCGAATAATCTCTTAAATGTTAACAACCACACTAGTTAGGCTAATGGGTCGGTAATATTCAGGTTTATGTTTCTTACCTGTTTTGAAGTTACTATGGCGTCATTACAGTCTTTTGGTAAATGACCCTGAGCTACGGATAGATTAAAGCATATGTACAAGAAGCTCACGACGAAGTTTGTCAAGTCCTTAGTAGCCTAAGATGCATTTCAACAGACTCAATGGATTTGCTCATATTAGGCTCATTTAACAGACTGAATAAATCGAGTTCTTCGAATGCCACACGACTCAGTGTGTGCGTGTGGTTTACGTGAACTGAATGGGGAGGCATCTCTAAGGAGTATGCATTGTTAAAGCGCTTTGCGAATACCAGAGCTTTACTATAATATACCTTTACTAATGAAGCACTGTTAGTGTTTATGGAATATCTTGTTTTCTCTTAATCCTTTGGTTTATGTACCACTACAGAGCGTTAAGGCACAGGTATTTGAGTGTTCCGATATTGAGATTTTGTCTCATCAGTCCCCAATAACCTAAATCTATCCCGTATTTTTCTTCTCTTACGGAGAAGGATGCGAACTTTCCCACTGAACCACGGTGCAGAGTTTCACGGTCCCCTTGGTTTAGTTCGAGGGATGTGGGCTGCAGTAACTTCTAAGTATAAATTTTGAAATACGTCCCAAGACGTTTCAATGGAAGACGCTGGCTTTATTATCCAGTCTACTGACGATGCTGAGTGTATAATATCTTGTATATTTGCTTTCCAGACGTTAGTTCTGGATTGAGCTGACGCATTCTCGTTTTTGACAGTTATATGGAAGTCAAAGTTTAGAACTGAATGATCACTTTTACCTGGGAGTGGCATGTAATGGAGGTTCGTAACGTCATCCTCATAATGGGTCAGTATAAGACCTAATAAGAATGACTGAGAGTCCGGATAGTACCTAGTCGCTTGCACTAGGACACATGTGACAAATAAACCAACTAGATCCTACTCGTATAAACTGTCTGACATTTCAGTTCGCAGATTTTCCCAGTCTACCATGAATGCATTGAAATTTTTTAGGATAAGACATCGACAACTTTTTGACCAAGTATTGAGGAACTCATTTACCTCACAGCTTGGACTGCGATAGACCAAAGCAACCAGCAGCTCTTGTCTCTTGCATTTCAAGCAGCAACTAACTAATTCACATGCTCCAATCTCATGGGATACATTGTCGATAATGGCAAATGAAATAGCATTCCAAATGAACCGAGCTACTCTCCTTCTGTTGCACTTCTGGATTCTGTCAGCTCTTAAACCCTCGAAATGAAGTTCCATACTATCTATAGGCTGAGTCAGCTAAGTTTCTGTGACTGTGATTATATATGGCTTTGTAGAGTCAGTCCTTACGCATAGTTCCACCCGCTTATTGAGCAAGCTTCGGGCATTAGTGCAAAAGATCCGAAGCCTATTTAAATGACTTCGTGATGCACCCAGAGTGGCCTTGGCATCATTCTCTGTCGAAGAACCATAACCCGAAAATTTACAATTTTTAGGTCCTTCTCACTAGCGTCTAAAATAAGTTGTAGTTATTTTTCGGCTTCCCTTCGTTTTAACACGGTCTGCTGGCGTCAAGTCTTTACGGACAAAAACTCCTTAATCCTTTAATTTATGTCCATTTTGTAAAATGAAGTCCCGTTTATTCGGAGATTTGAATACTACTTTAAGCAGTCTGGATTGATTAGGTTTCAATTTCTCTGGACTACATAGTTTGTGCACTTTTCGCAAGGTGACTCTGGAGATATTTTGAGGCATGAGTTGATGTAGCATCTGTTTTATCAACCCAAAATCATGCCAAAAACAAGTTTTAGGTTCAAAGCTTTCACTCTCCTTGGTTCTATGAAAAATAACTGACCTGACACTGATAAGCTTTCCGTTTCTCAACTGTTTTTTGGGGGGAGGGGATAGCATTTTATTTTACACCATTATGTTGTTTCCTGCTTATGACCTGTACGCATTGGTCAACTGTGGTTGGAGTTGCAACCACATTCGTGCCAAACATACTGTGGGATTCCGGTGGGTTATCAACGACTTAAAGTCAGTTTGTGTTTACCGCTAGAAACCGATCGAGCTTTGAGATGGCGGTTCCTAGGCGTTTCGTGCTGGGTACCATCTAGAGAACGGGTGACAGAAGAAACTTCCTTTTTTGAGTTTTATATTAAGACATACCGTTTTGAAGACGGCCTTTCCTCCCTTGATCGATGTGAGTCAGCTATTTCCGACCTCACTTGAGGTGGCTTCAAATCAATTTGTGTGTAGGTAGAGTGGGTGCTGTCCGATTTGTCCCTACCACGCTTGCCAAAACACTTATTTGCAGCATTTATCATTGAGATGGCCTCGGTTAGCTAGTTGTTTAAGTCCGAACTGCACTGCTGGCAAAGCCATATTCAACCGTTTTCACTAAACAGTTTTATAGCCACAGGCGTCAAGTTCGTACAAACTTCGAGGTATCAGCCGTTGTGCTCATCACACTGCATGCCGCTTTCAACGGGATATCAACAGCTCGGACGTCGGTAATTGCTTTTCTTGCACTGTCCAGTCATTGAACAGAGGTTTTCCGAAAAAAACTAGACACAATAGTACCCAGAGATAAAAGTGATCTATGATCAAAAAAGTGGAAAACTGTAAACTGTTTGGACCTAAAGTACTAACAAATGCAATAGAAAACAAACTACTTATAAGTACCGATGATAAACTAAATTAGAAACAAAAACTATACTTTTATCGTATAATTTGAATGAACTAAATTCAACTAAAGTATAAACAGTAGTCTTGATACATAATAAACGATCAATACAATGGAATTCACTCAGCGAGGAAAAATTTCACTGTCCTTTTAAACAGTGCGCGAACGATCGAATCCAATTTGAATTTTTTCTGTCCTGGACGGTTATGACAGATAAGCGGCTTCGGACATTAAATATCAACACAAATGTAGTCAAACGGTAAATGCGTTACGTTGTACTTTTACTTGTTCAGGATTCTGAAGGAAAAGTCCAGGTACGAAGAAGAAGTTGTTAAATATACGGAGATTTATAACAATAAAGTTGCCGCACAAGCTGAAGAGCACGATGTTAAAATGGCGGTATGAATTTTGCGTACAATAATTTGCGAAAAAGAGAGCAATTTTAGACGAATCCAAAATGATGATTCCAGACTGCCAATACAGACTTGCCAAAGCTATTAAGGAACTGGAAGGTGCTACTGAAGTAAGTATGTAAAGTAATGGCTTCAAATTATCTGTAGGAGTGTGAAGAAGAATTCGGAGACACAGAAGAATTCAAACAGGCGAAATGCTTATTACAAGAATGCTTGAATACAAGTTCATAAAAATGAGTGTGATTCAGTCGTTCTTCACGAAGTAACCACCTCCACTGTATTATATAGTGCTGTACATTAAGCATAGGGTTACTTCCCATTCCAATTCCTTTTATTAACAATTTATGGAAAAGTAATCAATTATTAAGTGTGTTAAATATTTTCCTTGTCTTTTTTTAACTGAAGCGTAGTGGAAATAATTCTCTTGCCTTTCAACATGTCTTACTCGATCAACTCCCTACAGATTGGAAAGACGCTATAGTCAGTCCTATGTTTAAGGATGGTCAGATACATATCGTAACTAACTACCGGCCTGTCAGTCTAACCAGCGTATTCGTTATTCCGGTTAGTCTACATAGATTCGCACAATCTGTTAACTCCCGAACAACATGGTATCCTAACAAGCGTTCATGCTTGACTAACTTATTGCGGGAGAGGATTAGACAGCAGCCCTAGATAACGGTCTGTTTCAACGTGACACCCATAGACTTTAGCAAAGCATTTGACAATGTTTCACACTAAGGTCTTATACAGAAGCTCTCGAGCTTCGGAATAACAGGTGCTGTACCGGAATGAATAGGAGGCTTCTTATGTGACCACAGACAAAGAGTGAGGGTCGATGGGATGGTATCCAAATGGAAGCCGGTCAAAAGTTGTGTACCCCAAGGCACCATCTTAGGCCCTTTACTTTTTCTTGTCTACGTTAATGAATTGCTGCTATTGCTTAAGTCATCGATATTATTGCTTGCGGATGATGTCTAAATCTGTAGAACAATAAGTGAGGCTGATCATTTTGACCTCCAAACTGACTTAGATTAATTAGTTAGATGGGCTCGAGGTTGGGGTTTAGAAGTTAATTGTAGGAGTAGTATGCTCATGCACATCGGACACGGTAAGTTACCAGTATACTGTAACAGTACATTTTTTCTACGAGTTCAGGAACATAAGGACTTATCAGTAATAAGCAGTCACAACGTGAGAACAACTATGCATTGCGACGCAGCTGCTGTGAAAGTGTTCCGTGGGTTATTGTTACATCGCCGAGCATTCAAATGCTTTGATGATATGCTTCGAATTTTATATCCCATCTATGTAAGAGTACTGTATCCAAACAGCTAGCCCATGAACTGATAACAGATACCAACTAAGTTCAGCGTGTGGAAACAAAATTGGTGGAGAGTCTCTAAACTCCCTTACGATGAGTGCTTAAAACGCCTAAACCTTCTCTTGTCTTATCGTAGGACGAGATGTCGCCTTACACTGGCATTTCGTCTTGTTTATTGTAATTTTGGTGTTAATGTTTTATCTTTTCGCTTCCCCCAGCACTAATAATCTTTGAGGTCATAGCAAGAAGGTTCATAAACCGCGATCTAATAAACTTAAAGTGGAACCACGTTTTTCTCATCGGGTAATCAATGACTGAAACGCCTTACCCGGACAGGTGGTATAAGACCCATCAGTGACTATTTTCAAGGGGAAGCTGGACATTTACTGGAAGTCATTGTGTCAGGATCAACACAGGTTCACTAACTTGTTACTGAAGACTGAGGTGTATGTGCACGCTAATACACATTCAGTTTGTAAAATTTAAGCATCTGCCCCAATGCTAAGTACAGATGCGGATTTGTGTAGTAAGGACAGAAGGCATACGGCCTATTTTATTCCTTTTCTAGTATGCTTCTGTGTGCCCAGCCTTCTCTTGAATGAGTCAATTGAAGTTGAGGACACCACTGCTTCAGATAGCACGTTTCAAGCATCGATGACTCGATGTGGAAACCTGTATGTCACGGGTGTTTTGTTCGTTCTCGGTTTTTCTACTCGCCTGCAATGTCCTCTGAGATGTCCCGATCTAGTAGGAAGAAATCATTTCTCAATATTCTGTATATCAGGATTAGATCTCCCCTTAGTCTGCTACAACACAGTAAAGAAGTCCAGCTTTTCAAGCCGCATTTTATGTGATAAACCCCGTAGTTCTAGAATTGCACTCATGTATTGGTTTGACATCCATATCTAAGATAGAGTTCACTTCCCGACAAGAACCAAGTTGCTAGTCAGATTTCTGTCAAATGATTTATTCGGATCCATTGTTGTGCTCCTTATGCTTCATTTCGTGATAAGACGCTGCAGCGATTTTACCAACGGTAGTGAGTGCAACCTGCTTAAATGGAAACCTAATAATATCCTGCATAACTGGTATAAATTAGAAGAACCATGAGCCGGCAATTGAGACCTTTTAGTTCTTCGATACTACACTAGCTCAAAGACTTCAGTTTTGCTACAGTTTGATTAGCTTTGGAAAATCTCATGCACATAAAAACTGATGTAAATCAAAGTCTAGTGACGTCGCAGAGATCTCGCTCTAAATTGTGAGTAAACATTGTCTGGGAGTTCCCCACCCTAATTCATACTATACCTCTAGCACTTCTCAAAGTCAGGTCCTCAAAATACTACACATGCACTACACTAGTTTACGATTTCTGCACGGGGGTATATTTGTTTATGATCACAACTCAGTGATTCATGTTCAGATCCTCGATATTTCGCAATAGTAGGCACATATTCTGGAAATTGTCAACAGGCATTCTTTGCGGATTTATTCGGTCAGCTATATGTATCTGATCATAATAAAAGATTGGTGACATTGGATTCGTAGAATAGTAAATAGCGAGCGATGTCTAATAGTTTCCAGATAAGAAACAGCTGGTATGTGGGCCTATGTGCGTCCTATATACTGTCGTACAAAGTAAATCCTTAGGTTTGTAGATAATTGTAATCACTTTCTCGACCTTAAGGCGGCATTTGACTCAGTTGATCGTAAGGTTCTATGGCAGTGTTTGTCGCTGAAAGAAGTACATTGACCTCATACAGGATCTCTACTCGAACAAGAGTGGCCGAGTGAGAGCTTGTGGCGAATCGTCATCAAAATTGATTACCTTGAGTGGTGTTCGTCAAGGCTGTTCACTGTCTCCATTCTTGTTTAGCTTTGGCATTGACATGCTTTTAGAGATAACAGTTTCCTCATCTAAATTTCCAGGTGTTGAACTTCTGCTGGGAGGTTCGCTTGTTGACATAGTTCTATTTGGTGAAGACGCTGACAAAATGCAGAGATTTCTGACCAACATAAGCAGCTTATTCACTATAGAACTGTCAGTTAACATGGCAAGAAACTTCCTAAAAGAATTAGGAGATGCATTTAGGTTACTCACGTGCAACTGTAACGTGTGTTGAACCTTGGTATGCTGAAATGAGACGTCAATCACTTCAACATCTATGTCTTACGTAAATAATGAGTATCATGGCACACCAATATTCACCCTTGTTTAGTATCTTTAATTGGATTAGAAATAAACCATTTTTTGATATCTCTGTAGCTCTCGACTTAAGTACATATTTCGGAGCTGACTGTTGTGTAGTGTCATCCTAGGACGTGGTTATATTGTCTGTATTGAAAATGGGGATGCGATTGTGAAACTTCTATTATATACCACAACAGTTTCTATTGGAAGTCATATTAAGGTATAATGTGAATCCTTGCATATACACAATGATGATTACGGTCATTACTTGCTTACACCTGTCACTCGTCGAGTAGTATAAGCCGCCCATCAAGATTCTCCGTAGAACTGTGTACTGAGCAGTCCTTCCCAGTTATTTTCAACTGCTATTAATTTCTGATGTCTTTGGTTCCCAAAACCATGTGTTCATTGGTCTCTCTTCTCTCCTTTTCCCTTCAGGATTCCAAGTTAGCACTTGCATCGTGATGCAGTTTGGGCACGAGTCCCTAACCAAGGATTTCGAGGACCACGTTAAAGTCCTGTGTGTATGTGAGTAAATGTGGTGGTATTTGTCTGCTAAAGCCACTCTTGGATACGTAGATTCGATAAGCGATACTTAGTATTGAAGCGATTTCAACTAACAGCATTTCTTGTTGAGTCAAAAACACTTGTAAGTACGCGGAAATAAACTTCTAAAGACCGCATAAGAAGTGATGCAAATTAAGTACAATCCCAATTCAGCACTTACTACGCATTTGATGTAATATGTCCCGACCGTTGTTGCTACCTTGACGTGGTGGTCGGGCTTGCCTATCGTGATGAAGCAACCGAGCTATACTGACTGGAACAACTGTTCCTCAAGGTCCTACCACATTGGAAAGGTCGGTTGAAGAGCGGTAAGACTAAAAGCAACAAACCCAAGGTCCGAAGGCGAAGTCGTACTGCTGACTGTACAGAGGTGTGACAGCAGTAAGGTGTTTCCTTCAGACAACCAGCATGACAGCGATGCTGCCTTCCCACAAGGGGGGGGTGGGGTTAGAAAAGGTCGACCCTAAAAATGCACACCTCGCCTTATCCCACGGATATCCGTCTCCGGCGGTAAGGTCTCAACAAGTACGGAGCTAACACAAAAATTGCCCATAAAAGGTCGTGTATGACCGACCTCGTAGTTGTCCCTTGGGCACTGCGGTCACGCTCCCTGGTCACTAAGACCACTCCTAATCCGATTTCCTTTTCAGGTACCTCCAGAAGAACCCTCCCACGGTGTGGGCAGCCGGGAAGTGATAACCGCCCTCATACCTCTAACAGCACTCAAGACCACTGGATTCATAATCAACCTCCCTCTTCAATTCCTATTATTCCTCCTACATCAACTACAAACTCTAAACTTCTTTTTTCAGCTTCCCCCTCAAGTGTCACCATAGCTAGCGATTCTAGTGCTCAAAACACTGTCCCAGGTCTACTGAAACCTCGCTCCACATTACACATTGGAGCCTTCAACGTACGCACCTTATGTCGAATCGGTCAGCACGCTCCCTTGGCTAAAACCCTAGAATCTCGTACCATTGATGTATGCTGTGTCTCCGAAACACGCATACAGGATCCCAGTGTGGTCATTTACTTGACCTCAAGTCGGCAAAACAGAGGGCCAACAAGATACACCCTCCGTGTATCTGGTGACCCGATGGCCAGCTCTCGTGGATTGGCAGGAGTAGGCATAGCA